TCTGTTAACTTCATCTTGATCTTTGATTACTGAGAGATTTTCTTTCGACGAATGGGAAATTCTATATTGGTCGATTTGTTAGAAGTGTGTCGCCGTGAATGTCTCAATTCCGTTGTTTCTACGTAACAGCGTTGGAAGAACAGTTGTCACAGAAAATCCTGACCTCTCAATTGAAATTTCACTGAGGGAATTGCTCCGACTGTACAAGAGCTTCATTAAGTGCCGATCCTCGTCGCGACAGCGTGAGAATTTGATATATACTAAGCAATCGATCTCCGAAACATCGTGAACGACACGGTCCTCCGACACAATAATTAGAAGAGCCAATTACAAAGGGGTCCTGCGTCACGGCGGCAATTAGTGTGAAAGTATCGCAGCTATTTTCGCCGCCGGACGATCCAATAAAGCCGGCGTTAATTTTAATTTTCTATTATCCGCTCGCGGACGTTAAACACGACCTCGGAGGCGGGCTGGGGCGTTGTTGGAACACGCGAGCGGTGACCGGCGGCTAAAGGCTTCTCCACACCGCCACGTGCCTCGCCGGCGAACACCTTTCTCCGGCAGATTTTTCTCGGCGAAAAAATTCCTCTTTCTCCGGCGGACCACGCGCCAGGCATTTCGTTGCGTCACGCCGATCGGATCGCGACGTGTAATTAGAGACGAGCGAAAAGATCAGCGACGCCGAGCCTCGCGTTTCAACGCCGCGTTCCTTTAACTCTCTTTGTGGACGGGGACGCTTTAAAGTACGGCAAACTTGTAACGTACGAAGGTAAATTATACGTCGAACGCTTAAATAGAAAATTAGGGAACTGTGCGCTGATCTCTTGCTAATCGAGTAATTAATCCTTTGCACTCGAGAGGTGACTCTTAATCACCACTTGATTGGATGCGGTAAAAGTATAAAATTTGATATTTAACCCTTTGCACTCCGAAGTTTCTCACTAGAAATATTTCAACATTTTCTGCTGAGGTGAAGACGATATTTCGTGAAAATATTTCTTAGATTGATGCATTATATGAAGTATAATATTAAATATTAAATCGGTCACCTCCCGAGTGCAAAGGGTTAATATTGAACTGTATAATACATCGGTGTATGAAATATTCGGGTAAAAAAGCTTTGTCTCTCGGTTCACTTGTGATTTTCTCTTTGAGTTCATTGAAAAAAATATCGTCTTTGTATAGTTAGAAAACGTATCTCCAGCGAAATACTTCCGAGTGCAAAGGGTTAAATCGTTCGTCCGCGACTAAGTACGCCAAATACGAACCTTTCATCTCGCCGAAATGTCGACATTCGTCCGCAAAGAGTTAACGTCGGCGAGTCGTTTAGCTAGCTGCCGATGGAAGTGCACAGAAATCCGATCCACGACCAAATGTGTAGTCGCTCCAGGGTCACCCGGTATGCGATCATTCGTTGAACTTTCGAGACCTCGTACCGGCGATCGACACATTTTTATTTTGCCTTTACCTGAAAGATTCTTTAACCTTTCGCACTTCAGAAGCGCCTGTCATCCAAATGATTTGACACAGGAAAATTGTAAACTTTGATATTCAATATTAAACTTCGTATAATGCGTGAATATGTGAAATATTGAAAGAAAACAGTTTCCCTCGTCAAAGTAGTAGCGAGTTCTTGACAAGTTAATTTCAAATGTCATCTGCATCTCATTAGAAAATGTTGAGTATTCCCAGTGGAACACTTCCGGAGTGCAAAGCGTTAATTCGATTCTATTCCAACGTCGAATGAGAACAATTGCACGGTTCGCTTGAAAAGTTTCAATTTGACCGGTAAACTGTTGCATCGTAATTTTCATCTTCACCGCGACGACCATTATGTTCGATGACTTACGGCCGGCGGTATATCACGAAGCCGATTTCGCTGTCCGAGGCGGCAAGAGTGATTCGCGATAATTCAAGGCGAGGCGTGAGTTATGAGCTAACCGCGAGCGTTCGCGTAAATTCAGGTTTCCGCGGCCGACTCCCCGGTAACTGGAAATCATCAGCTGAACTTGTTGCGATCGAGTAATCATCGAGGCGAGTTAGAATCCCATAAAACCGCAAGCTTGCGAAATTCCGGTAGGAAACTGCGGGGATGTGGAATAAAATCTGGAATATTCCGAAGAGGAGCATCCGGCGAAACGACGCTTCGCTTTACGCTGCAAAATGGAATAACTCCGTGAACCGATGGAAACAGACGTTACAGGTCAACACGCTCGAGTAATCGAAGTTCATTAACACTAAAACTACCAGGAAGCTCAAAATAACCCATTCCTCGCGTCCCCTTTCCTTAATTATTACAAAAATAACATACTCCTCGAAGAATCTATTAAACAAATCAGTTCAGCAATAAACTGAATGATAAATCAACTAAACCCTCAATAAACGCTCTAAGTTCCTACAGAGGGATTTCAAAAAGTCAATGTAACTTAGTATTCCCTCAAAAAATAATCATCTCAATACAGTGCTTCTCGAAATAACTTCAAGTTCACAAATACGATCGAAACCGATTACTTATTAATCCACTCTTCATAAATTCTGCTCATAAAAGTGAAGCTACTCAAACGACGAAAAGAATCGACGATACCAAGACGTTCGTTCTCGAAACGTGAAGCTTCTCGGGAGACCAGCAACGCGGAGAAACGTCCGGCCGATCGGCAAGGCGCGTCGGTGCGTTCCGCCATTGATACGGCGAGCGTAACGCCAGCGGCCGAGGCGGCCGCACGTTATTCATCGAGTTCCATTGGAATCGGTCCCTCCGGATGAACGTGTCGCGTTGCCGGCAGCCTCGAACCAAGTCAGTCGGTCGGTCACTGTCGTCGTGTCGCCTCTCCGTCGCGATCTTGGGCGACTCGTCGGTCCGCGAGAGATCCCCACGATCCTTTAGTCCGCGAACAAGTGTTCTCGTGATCGCTCGCGATTGCGATCTCCGTCCCCGTGACACGCTAGACACCGACGTTCCATTTAAAGGTCTGTATGCCCCGCGCCTTTTCTTGTCCCTTCGCTCTCTTCTTTCTTCGCCCCTCCCCCCCTTTCCTCCATCGCGAGCCAATTATACGGCAATTTGCCCTTCTCCTTGGGAACACTCGATCGCTTCGTGTGCTCTCTGTGAACCTGATGCAAACGTTTTTCTTGCGTTTCGCGAACGTCAGCTGTCCCTTCGGCGTCGAAGTCATCGTGACAGCAGGCTTTTGTGTCGACAGTTGCCAGCGAATGATTCGATCCTTCGTATAATTAGACGATTATGTGCATAATGTATATTTACATAGAGAATAATTCGTGTTTTACACGAAGATCCGTGCCAAATGATTCACCTACGAATGAATGTTTATAATATCCTTCGGTGCTGCTGAAGTTCGAGTAGATTATAAAATGCGATATCTGAACGAGCTGAATACTGAATTAAATATTGCTGGTTCGTACCTGTAATGGTATCATCTTTTCCACAAGCTCTGAAAGTGTGCTTTGTATCTTGAATGACTACACCACTTGACCCGATTAAACTAGGGCATTTCAGCACCATGGAAATCTGCTTAAATTCATTGCTGATTAATATCTTCCCAATTTGGATCAGTTCAATTCGTTGGTGCGTCGACAAACTTGCGCGATGCATTCCTTTTCTAGCCTTCGGGAACTATAAAAATGATTTTAATATCTTCAGAAATCCTAACATTCGTTAACATTCAAAAACCAGAGTGTAATGCTCGACTTGTTTCCATTTTTCCATGTTTATCCAGTCTCCGTTTCTAATGGATTCATTTCGTACGGTGTCTTAGTCCTAACGACATTCTCGCGAGAGAAATGCGCCCGTCGGATCGTGTGACGTTCATTTTCACGGAAAATTGCTCGTTAGCTGTGAAACTCAAAGCCGCCTAATTTCCGGATGACACCCGCTTCTTCCGTGGCTTCCGGTTCCGCGATCGGGGCGAAACGTTCATCAGTCTCGCGTCTCCAGAAATGTCCGCGCGGAACGAGAAGTGGCTCGTTAGCGATCGAGAAAATTCTGTTCGCCTCTTTTCCCAAGGTTTTAATCCGCCTCCGGCTGCTCTCCGCGTCGCTTCCGAGATCGTACCGCTTTGAACCGTCGCGCGGATTCACCCTGAACGTAACGTCAACCAGCGGGAAGCCGTCGCTCGTCCTTTTTTCCGTTCGGCTTTCATTTCCGGGACGGTAACCCGATATTCGAATCACCGCTCCGTAGAGGGAGAATCGTCTTTTATCGATTCCAGGTACGCTCCCGGTGCTCGAATCACCTGTTTCTCTTTATCGGAGCAGCGAGCGCGCGCTCCTCCGATTCAACCCTCGGCCCTCTTATCAATACGCTGCGGAGTAAGTGGATCGCGAACGAACGCTGGAAGCCATTACCATACGACCGTGCATTCTCTCGAACTTCGGGAAACCTCTATTTTCGTACTCCTTTTCGTGATTATACGGAAACGGAGCGGAGGCAATTTATTCTTCAATTTACCAGGGTTAACCCTTTGCACTCGGGAGGTGACTCTCAGTCATTATTTTGTTTGACACAGAAAAACTTCCGAGTGCAAAGGGTTAATGTCGGTCAAAGAATTCGAAAGGTTAGATCGGTGTTGGACATTTTTCTAAGAGAATTCAGGGACAGGTTTGACTTCAATCGATCGAAATTTATCGAAGACTTTACGTAATACTTGATACAAATGTCGCACTGATCGTTTCGATGAAACTTGGTTAATCGAACAACTTTGGTTCTTCTGTCTCTATTGAACTATTGGCAATTTATTCTTCTATTTGCTAGCATTAATATCGATCGAAGAAGAAAGATTCAGGGACGAGGTTTACTTTAAGCGATCGAAATTTATTGCAGACTTCACTTAACGTCTAATACAAATGTCGCGTCGATCGTTTCGACGAAACTTGTTGTTGAACTATTGAGAAGTTGAAGTAATTCTGAAGTTATTCTTTAAGCCACAGAATGATTTACAGGCCTGACTGGCTAATGATAACACTCGGTAATTATTGTTGAACAGCTAGCAGAACGGAGCTGCCATCTCAGCGACTCCTCCACATGTGGACATCGCCGTCCCGACTCAGGATCGGCCGAGCACCCAGGAAAAAGACGACACCTTAAGCTCTAGCTGCTGCCGGCAGCTACCGCGACTGGTGAACAATGGAGAGCACCAGGAGGAAGCTGTCCTTCCTTGGCTTTGGTAAAAGGGTATCGGTGAGTAGTCCTCTCTATCTTCCATTTACATTTTTAAACATCGATCAAGCCGAAATTTTTAACTTACGGAAAAGAAGAAACGTTACATGAACGTAGGATTAGCAATTAAACGATAGACTAAAAATTACGCAATGCGTTAACCCTTAACGAAAGTGTTCCAAGTTCACTTACCAAAAAACACAACATATATACCAAGCGGAAACAAATTCACAGCAGTGACCTAACGATACTTAACACTATAACAACCAAACGAGTCAAATGGATCCAATCCTAAATTTCATTCTCAACTAGTAACAGAATAAAATTCACTTAGAAACATGCAAACTGATCATCAGTTGAAGCACCAACAGCCGCATCCTCAAAGTTCCTATAGATTTGAAAATATCCATTCGAGTTTCAGTGTTATCCTGTTAACTGTAAATATAACAACAGCGATAAAAACAATGAAATAATTGTTGCCACGCAGCATTACTCAGTAAATAAAAGCACCTCCGTCAGCTTCGCTCGGTTAAGAGTTAACCTTCGAAAAAATTTTAAAAAGAACTTAAAAACAAGAATACTACGCCCAGTTCGCTGTCAAACTGATAGCGTATTCAAATGTTCGCACGGCCATCGTAGAATTTGCATGATGATTCACCGTATCCTGCGATAATTCATCATTTTCCCCGAAGCATTGCGACATCTTTAATCCCCGGCCTGCCGCGATAGCGTTATTTGCTCTCGCGGCAGTAGATAAAGCTGGCCTCTGATCAGACCCGCCACTGTGAACCGTCTATTTCCAGCATCCTCTCATTCGTTCAACTCTCCTGAACCTCCATTGTCGCCGCGGGGACATTAAAAGCAAAAACAAATACTCAGACCCGGCGAGGGGGTTAATTGCTTTTTCTCGGGGCGCGCGCCATTCTACTTGGTTCAACCCTTCGCACTCCGAGCAGTTTTTAATATAACCTTTCAGCAACTCCGAATCGGTTTTAACCCTCTGCAGGCTCGTGTGACTTTGAGGTCACTTTGGTTTATTCCATTTTGCAGTGGAAATGGCGAATAAAATAAAGTAATCGGTTAACTTCAACTTTAGCACGCTCAGGCGTGAAAGTTCGTCATTCTAACTTGAAAGTTACGATATATATTCGTTCGATGAAATTATTGAAACTATCGAATACATTCTTAATTCGTATTCGTATGTGGATATTTATTAATTTTCTACTGCATAGATTTTGTTATAATCGCGAAGAAAAATTCGGCCCATAGAGGGTTAACACTAGGTTTACTGGCATTTATTGTACAGTTTATTCTATTGTTCCTGGGGAAGTTGATATTCGTTCATGTAGATTTTGGAAATTGTAGATGTAGGCAATCAGGATTCATATTCGTGTAATTGGATCAATGAAAACCGATTGAAACATTTACCAAAATAATGTTTACGAGCGTGCCTCTGTAAAAGATTTGAGACCCTGCTTTGTCATTAAAAAAGCGCGTGTACATTTTAAAGTTATGTTCGACTGAAAACGAAGTTATAAACTTATCTTACAATGTCGACAAAGGAGACAAATGGCGACAGAGGAGTGCAAAGGGTTAATTCGCGCCTTGCGGAATTCGGACTCGACCGAATTCTTTCCGGTTCACGGCGGAAACGCTGTTGAACAGCCTCGTCTCCGGGGAAGAAAGCGATTTCGTAGAACTGGCTCGGGACGGGACGGTTCTACCGCGCGAAAGGAGTTAATTAACACGTCGCACGTGATTGCACGCGTCGCCGATGCAACGTGCTGTATACTGCAGCCGCGAGCTCGTTAAATTGATGTTATTTCCTCGTGACGATCGTGCGGTGAACCGCATATGTGCCATCTATATTTAAGCTCGCGGTTGAATTTTCGTCTTCGTTTACTCTTATCTTCTCGGGGAACGCGTATTATCTGTCTGTGTTTGTTCAGTAGATTCTTATTAGCGGATTTCATCGATTTTAATAGATTCTGCTGGAGTCTCGAGTTTACTGCTGTAGGTTTACTACTGTAGTCTTGAGTTTTCTGCTTTATGTTCTACAAAGATAGAACTATTATCTTGAGTTTTCTGCTTTATATTCTACAAAGATAGAACTATTATCTCGAGTTTCTTGTTTAATACTAGAACTACTGTACCAGTCGAAATGACTGGTTTCGATTGTTTTGTTTCGCAATGATTGATATATTAAAAGCATTGAATATTCGAAATGATCTTGAAAATAAATAGCTTCACTTGAATACTGTAATGAATGCCTGAAGAAACCGAACATAATCTATTGTTACAACTTTTATATGGATTACATATCAATCGTATTAAATCCCCGGTAGTTCTAGTGTTAATTTCCGTTTCTTTAGTTGTTCTCTTCGTGAAACACGTAACGGCTCTGTGCTCGGTAGATTCTTATTAGTGGATTTCATCGATTTTAATCAATTCTGCTGGAGTTTCGAATCTACTACTATAGTCTTGAGTTTCCTGCTTTATATTCTACAAAGATAAAACTACTATCTCGAGTTTCTTCTGAAATTTCCTTCTCTTCCTTCGTTCTTTTCGTGAAGCACGTAACGTCTCTGTGTTTAGATTCGCCAGATTCTAGTAGATTCGATACATAGATTTTCCTTGTAACATACAACACCTCTGTATACTCGTTTCGCAGAGCACAGTCGCAGAGGTCTGTTTAACGCGTTGATAGACGTCGGAATATGTATTTTGCATATTTGGGTCGATCGATTGGACCTAAAGAAGCATGCGTGCGCTCGGGATTGCAGTAAGTAGATACGGCGTGCAATGGCCAGACGCATTGGCCGGTGCCTATGCGACAGAGCGCGAGCCGCGAGCGAGGACTGTGAATTGAGTTTAATCGGTATGGATTTTATATTCGGTCGGCGTCGATGTTCGGTCCACGACAAAATGCTGTCCAGAAATATCCGTGACAAGTCGAATCTACGAATACTGTCCACGGAATCTGCGAATCTGTCCAAGATAAATACCTGTTCTCCAACGCAAACACTAAATATAAATCCTTCGTGTGAACACAAACTCCGTTTCATCGGCAGGAAACTATCAAAGATGGAATATAAGTCTTTCCACTACGCCTTTCAAAAAAATCGTGAAGCAAGGAATTCAAGATTTAACCCTTTCCAAATGATCGTAGACAATTTGTTGAGATGAAACTTCCATGTCTGTAATACTGAGTCGCAAACATATGATTTAACTACTCAATTAGGAAGAAAACCGTACATAGATTTTTCTATTCTATATTATTTATTCATTCGACGTATAATTCGGCAGGATCTGCAGGTTTTTCACACTTTAACGCTAAAACTATCGAACAGTTGAACTGACTTCTCGCAATTCTTCTATAGAAACTTCAAGAGTGCATCTACCGAGACTTTATCTTCCTTCTTAATATAAAATTTGCATGTGAGGAGAATCTAATAATTTTGGGGTAGTTTCTTTAAGATTCATTCAAATATTTACTATCATAACTGGTGCAATATTGGAGCCTACAGAGTTCAAAGGGTTAAAGATAAACTGGAAAAGAAAACATCGCTTATCGCTATGCGTCTCGTAAATTATTAACGATTTCTCCGCGAAAGGCTCGTCCAGAATTCACCGTAACACTCGAGCGAGTCCTCCTCCCAGAAAACGATCCTTGGGTTGCCGGTCGTTAACCAGCTGCAGGATGTAGTCAGATTAATAGTCCACCGGTCGTTAACCAATGGCGAGAAAAAGTCCAATTAATAGGCTTCCGGCCCGTGAAGCGTCGGGATCGCGAAAAGAGCCGCGAGACACGCGAACCTGTCGAAAGAGGAGAGGAGAGCGGGTCGATGGAACGCGGGGAACCTTTGTTCCCGATCGATGTCACGCGTTTCTATTAAGTCTAGAACCACCGGGCAGTTCAAACTGACCCATTTCTGAATTTATACTCCAAATGCAAAAACAAATGCAACGTGAGTTGCAAGTTTCTCAAAGAGAGATCAGTTATCTTTTTAACCCTTTGCGGACAAAGATTCCTCGAAACATAGAAAACCTTCAACATACGAAGCTAAATTCTATATCAATCACTTAATTAATAGAAAGAAAGAAAACTACGTTATCTCTTACTATTCGACTAATTAGATCATTTCTCCACGACTTAGTTCTCCAAATCTGAACATTTCATCTGACCGAAATGCCGACAAAGGGTTAATAATTGGAAGACATTAGGAATGGGTGGTAGTTATAGTGTTCATGATTCATTCTAATATCACTTGCCTTCATGGAAGAATAATAAATATAGAAAACGTTGAAAAGCGTTAACAAATTGGAGGGATAGCCAAGAGTTCGGTGTTTTCTTTGTTTCCATCGTAATGGAAAAGGAAAGATCTGCCGTTAGGTGCGGCGCGTCTCGACGCGGCGCTCCGCCTCGCTCTCCGCGTCTCCCGTTAAATGGTTATTGACCTACGACCGTCAACAATCAGGCCAATCAGGCGGCACGAGCTTGTCCCGCTTTTCGAATTCATGCCGGAGTTTAGCGTAACGCGGCGCAGCGTTAATCCGCGGCTGAACGTCTCGCGTGCGACGGTCTCCTCTGTCTCCGGCTCGGTCTTACTCCGCGCTCTCGACCGAATCGCCCATACGTTTGCTGGAAACGGCGCCTTAACACGCTGTCTCTCGAGTCGAGGATCGTTACTTAACCCTTTGCAACCGGGGAATCCCAGAAGTATTAACCCGTTGCATTCCAGAAGTTTTTCGCCAGAAATACGGACGACAGTTTCTTAGATTGAATTAAGAAATCTCACATGCGTCGAGGAAGAGAACTATTTTCTTTCAATATTTCGTACATTGACGCATTATACAAAGTTTAACATTAAATATCAAAGTTTACAGTTTTGCTGTGTCAAATCATTTGGTGACTTAGAGGCGCCTCTGGAGTGCAAAGACTGGTTTCGATTTGTTTGTCTCGCAGTTATTAACACCTTAAAAGCATTGAATATTTGAAATGATTTTGGAAATAAATAGTT